CGCCCACTGCCAGAAAAAGGACGCCCCCAGTTGCCACCAGAGGGAACCCCAGATCTGGGCAGTGGCACGGGCACTCCGCCCCTTTGTAGGTAACGGAGTCTGGTCCGCAACTCCGAGATGGTCATACCCCCGCAATGGGAGCATGAGTCATCCACGAAAGCCACCTCAGCGTGCTTCATGCCCAGGCACGAGAGGCAGCGATCGTGACCCTCACCCAGCGCCAGGTAACGACCGCATCCAAAACACGTATATACGCTGTCTATAGCAAGACCCACATCGTCTTTACAAAGACGTAACGTCAAGTTTGACACACAACGTCGTCTTTAAAAAGACACACCTGAAATTGCTCTTTTAGGGGAAAAAGCTATTTTAGCGTGCTGAGGCGCACAGGGGAGATGATCATCTGCAACACAAACAGGGGGTAGTGCAGCCTGATGTGTGCAACCCACTCGACACGGGAAACCACCACCGCTGAAGCGCCGTCCGCCAACACGAAGAGCTCTCTAAGAGCGTGCTGAACTCGTTCAGTCTTCTTTTCTCAGTAGAGTAGTCAGGAGCAGAACAATGTGATCGCTCGGCTCCGAAGCGAAAAGCTGAATATGCGCTGCATCTGCTGCCTACTTATACTCACGCTGTGATCAGCAGCAGCTGGATGCAATAATCGCATGCCAATGTGCATTGGCTTGTTTAGTTTACACTCTAAGTAGATTGGTCCCTCTAAGCGAGATCCCAATTTCCCAATTTCGTCGGTCATCCGACGTGACGTCGAGAGTTACCGACTGAAAGGGAACTTCAGTTACTCCTACTGGTAGATTATGTAACAACACCATTATGGCGACAAAAAGTGTCTTTCTCAAGTATCTGTGTGATCTAACAAAATGAAAATTTTTGGTAGATATATGTGTGACCCTGGACCACAAAACCAGTCTTAAGTCGCTGGGGTATATTTTTAGCAATAGCCAAAAAACATTGTATGGTTCAAAATTATCTATTTTTCTTTTATGCCAAAAATCATTAGGATATTAAGCAAATATCATGTTCCATGAAGATATTTCGTAAATTTATTACCGTAAATATATCAAAACTTAATTTTTGATTAGCAATATGCATTGCTAAGAGCTTCATTTGGACAACTTTAAAGGCGATTTTCTCAGTATTTTTTGCACCCTCAGATTCCAGATTTTCAAATAGTTGTATCTCGGGCCAAATATCCTATCCTAACAAACCATACATCAACGGAAAGCTTATTTATTCAGCTTTCAGATGATGTATAAATCTCAATTTTAAAAAATGTACCCTTATGACTGGTTTTGTGGTCCAGGGTCACATATTATATTATAGTAAATGTTTTACCAGTGACAGATTTTTGGTTACGCTTCTTCTCAGTATTGCATGGCTGAAATCTACGGCACTAACCTGCTGCTGTGTCTCGGCTTTCAATAACAGCTGTCCCTGAATGTCTCCCTGGAGAAAAAACATTTCCAGCTTGAGGAATTAGATTTCTACATTAGTCCCAGGCCGGTCAGCCCAGCTTTCAGCCTTATTGGATTTTCGGGGTGTTCAGGAAACTCCATTATATAATGGCCCCATTGTGCGAAGCAGATGGAAAAATACAAAAGCACAAGAAACAAAGGAGGGATAAACTTAATCAATTGATTTTTGACAAGAGCAGTGTAAGGTAACATAAGCGAACTACAGCATGGTGTCACGACTCTGGAGGGGTTCAGTATGTTTTTATTCAGATAAATATGCTAATAAAAACAGTATTTATAGAGCATTGCATGCTTTTGAAATAAACATCAAAGCCAAACTGTTGGGAAGCAATGAAACCATGTATATTCTTAGCATTTTTTATGTTCTTAGCAGTTGATGAATGAATTTGAATTTGATTTTTGAATTTGATTTTGTTGTCTTTTGTAAAACTGTATGGATTGACAGGTAACATAGTCGACAGCTTTGCCACTTTGACTAATAATTTCAATGGCAGGCCTTGTCTGGCCAACCAAATGTTATCTTCTTGATCAGATTAACCTCAAATGTTAATATTAATTTCAATTAAAAGCATAAAAATATTGCAAACCATAACAATACCCAACATAGTTGGCGGTTAATATACTCCTTGACAATAGGTCATTGGAGATCAAATATAGAAATGGTTTCGTGATAAGCCATTTTTTAGTCTTCATTAGTTTTTTTTAAAGAAGTGTTTGTTTAGTAACAAACAGTGTAGGGCAAGTTACTTTGAAAATGTAATCAAATTACTGATTACTCCTTTTAAAAGTAATCACGTTAATGTTCTGATTACTTTATTTCAAAAGTAATTAGTAATTAGTTACATTACTAGTTACGTTACTTTTTTCTCCATGAAATTTATGAAATCACAGCATACATGCTCCCGATAAATATTTGTTATTAAAGCATCAACATTCACAGAACACTTATTTTTAACTAAAGCAAGCGGCTGCTGCATGCATGGTTTGTCATGGCAGAATACCAGCAAAGAGCGCTGCATTTATAATCTCTAAAAGACATCTCAGTTCATTGCAATCTCACAAATCTCTGTTATAACACAATAAATATATGCATAATAAATCTTTCATAATGTCTACAATTCGTGTGTTATAATAAGAGGATTCGTGAGCACGCAAATTTCAGCACTGCATTGCTCAACGCTGCCGCACACGTGTTATAGCCTAAATAGAAACTCTGCATACGCTTGCACCTGTTAATCGTTTATATTTTATAGTAGTTCATGTAGCTTTTGTGCAATAGATGAATAACAATTTATTTGTTTTAGATATTTTATGTTTAGATATTTCTATTTTGCGGGAGTCCCGTGAATCATTTTATTGCACACACACGAGCATCTACCCGCCCGCACCAGCACTCGCCTATCTTGTCCCGTGCCGCACTCTGTTGTGTCAGGTCTCGCGGGAGCAGGTCTCTAATCCACTGGCACTTGACTCGACAGTGCGTGTGCTACATCCTTTTTATAATCTCCAGATTATAAAACACTGCATTCTGTCAGCAATGTAACGCGTCAGTAACGTATAGAGACCTCAGCTTGTAACTATACTCTAATTACTATTTTGAAAATTATAACACATTAAATTACTCAAATTACAGTAACACGTTACTAGTTGACAGAATTTGTTGACATCATAATTGGACATAAAATGTACACTTAATTACAATACAGTATATCCAATCTGTAGTGTCACATGATCCATCAGAAATCATTCTAATGTGCTGATTTGCTGTTCAAGATTTTTTATTTTTTATTATTATTATCAAAGTTGAAAGCAGTTGTGCTACTTAATATTTTTGTGGAAACCATGACACTTTTTTTTCAGGATTCTTTGATGAATAGAAAGTTCAAAAGAAAAGCATTTATTTGAAATATAAATCTTTTGTAACATTATACATTTCTTTACTACCACTTCTGATCAATTTAATGCATCCTTGCTGAATAAATTAATTTATTTCAAATAAATAAATAAATAAAAATAATAAACTTAAACTTAAACCTACATTATTACTTAAATTCCAATAATGCTCAGCTCCTAGAAAATAAATTGATAATGCCCATTTATAGACTCAGCTCCTTTATTCTCCAGAAGTCATGAATTTGTTCACTGTGAAGTCTCCGGATCGTAAAGACGAATCTGTTTATCGTCCGCGAGTCCTGAAAGAAAGATTGAGCAATCATTGGGTCATTTGGTAAATGGAAGTGAAGAATAGAGCAGTGTGTGTGAATGACAGTATCTGACAGTAGGGTGGCACTTTCATCTAACAGGCATATAATCTCACTCTGCTCTTCAGCTGCAGGCTGATTGGCCTCTTCATCTCTCTAGTCACAGTTTGTGTCTTTAACTCCTTTCTATTTCTCCTTTTCCTCCTCACCTCCTCTGTCACCCCATCTATTCCCTTTCCAGCATAATAAGCCACCTAAATGTTATTGCATAGCGACTATTTCATTGCCTAGGGGTGTCTTTTTCACATCAACTTGCAGTTTGCACGGCTGTTAATCGTTTACAATTTTTTTTAAAAATAGTTTTTAAGTAATCATGCTAGATGAGCATCTTTTTGACCATTGCAACATGTCTTCTTGTTGTTTTTTTAGCATCTCACACCATAAGCACCGCATTTTAAGATGCTTTTTTCTGGTTCGAAATGTCATATGCATGTACATTCTTTTGCATTTGGTCTATTTTTTTTAATGTAAGAACTATGACTTTCACACCAATCCATGAAAAAAAACTCTGATGGCAAACAAACCAAAAGCTCTAGTTTGAAGGTCTCAATTATTTTGCATTTATGAGCTATAATTACTCACTTACGAGTATACAAATTCATGTGGACACTGGATAGTGTATCTCAGATCATTCAGTCTGGGATGAATTTGAGAAATATTTGAGTTCATATTGAGATCTCTGAGTTTTGATTGCAGACTTGGGTATCTTGGCAAATCTGAGCACATTTTAAAACCTTGTTGACATCCTAGGAGGCATTATTTTAGTTGATCATTACACACTATTGAGACACTGTTATAGTTTTTATTATTTTTTATATTTTTAGTTTTAGTACATTAAACTGAATGCAAATTAGAAATGTTGCCTGGGCAACTAGCTGAAATAAAATAAGTTTGTGTAAATAAAATATGTTTTTTAATATATTTAATTTTATTTCAGATAATGTTTATTTAATTTTAAGCAACACAAATATATTTTTATGGTTTTAGTTTTAGTTAACTTTAATAACCCTGGAGATTATAGGGTTTTTTTTCTCATGGGACTCAAACAAAAGCTTCTGTTTGCTGTTTGTTTAATCTCATTGCTGTCTAGGAGAAACAATTGAGATATTAAAGAGATGTCAATTGTGATTTGTCCTATGGGAAGAGATCCAGTTTGTCACTATTGATCACACTGCCATCACTGCTAGAGGCTTCAGTCACGCTCAACTCCTCCCACCAACACTCATGAAATCAGGAGTTTGCCTTAATCTGGGCTGCGCTGTATTTCTGAGAGCGAAAGAGAGAGAGAGAGAGAGATCGTACTGCAGTACCGTCACACACTCCTGTGCTCAGACCAGAGTGGAGCACGAGGGACAGGAGGAGGAGCAGGAGGAGAAAACAGGGTGATGATGACTGCAGCGTCCCGACCACAGCTCAACTGAAGAGGGGAATCTGTCTCTCCTCTGCTCTGGCTCTGGGATTAAGTTTTCCCGTCTTGGCATCATGGAGTCTCCCACCAGAGAGATCGAGGAGTTTGAAAGCACGTCGCTCAAGTACTTACAGCCCGACCAGATCGAGAAAATCTGGCTCCGACTGCGGGGACTGTGAGTATGAGCTTTTCAACAGGTTTTCTTGTGTTTTGTGTGCGCGTGTCTGTGTGTGTGTGTGTGTGTGTGTGTGTGTGAGAGAGAGAGAGAGAGAGAGAGAGAGTGTGTGTGTCCATCTAAGAGATTGACAAACATCCTGAATCTCATGTAAACATGTCAAATTCACTTTTCACCCAAAAATAAAAAGGAAAAAATAAGAAATTATAATCAGAATAAACCGTAAACCCTGTTTTAGGACTATTTTTGCATAGTGATCATAATTTTTTAAAATGAAAATTAAGCTTTTTTTGTTAATTCTCCTTACTGAAAGTCACTTTTGGACACCTACTGGATTTGGATGGACAAATACTGTAAAAATATATTTAAAATAATAAAATAAAAAATATATATAATTTTAAAATGTATTACTTTTTGGGTTGTAGTAATGAGAATTATTATTATAATTTTTTTTTTCAATTGTCATAAAAATGTCCCTATGCAAAAAGTCTTGATGTTTTTTATTTTTATTTTTTCTTTCTATGTGTGTGTGTGTGTGTGTGTGTGTGTGTGTGTGTGTGAAATATGACTTTAAACGGTTCTCGATGGATGCACCTAAAATGTTTGTTTTTTTTTTTTTAAAGAAAAAAAGAAAATAGTTTTAAATTCAAAAAACAAATATTCACAAATATTATTCAATAAATTACAGTAACTGTTCCATGGAAAGGTGTTTTTTTTATTGTGATTTTATTCACACTTCAGTGAGGTCAATTCACAGAGACCTGGTGACTTTTTATTAATATGTTTCAAATACTTCTCAAATATATATTAAACAGCTCCATCATCTGTAGACAAACGCATTTCTTCGATGTCAATCAGTTTTTCTCTCTGGCTGTTATTGGGCGGCTGGAGAAAAAGTCTCTATATTGTCCTAGAACTCAGTGAATGAAATGCAATTTCCTCACTACGGGTGAAGAAGAAAAGATGAGCGAGAGAAGGTGAAAGAAAAAGCGAATGAAAGCAAGAAAGAGATGAAAGGGAAGGGCTGGTTTGTGACCTCTCATATTTTCTCCCTTCACACAGTAGAATAGTAACTTTCCTCTGTTAACGATGAGTTTGATAAGTTTTTGTGTGTGTATTGAGTCTGTTAAAGTCCACATGAAATCAAATTGACCCTATTTAGTTTTTAAATACATAGTTCTGGTCTTATTGTAAGTGATTCATTAGTGCACGACACGTTAATCCAAAAAGGAAAATGTCTGTCTTCATAATCTTTTATCCAAACATAATAACTTGCTCCTCCTCTAAAATTACTTTCCTTTGTTGTCTGACATCAACAAGAACTCTTGGTAACACTAGCATATTGGCTATTTATTAGTACTTATAAAGCACATATTCTGCATGACCATATTCTACATCCCTAATGCCTAAATTTAACAACTACCTTACTAAGCAGTAATTAGGAGTTTAAGGTTTAAAGTTGGAATTTAATAGTTAATTAATAGCGAGAATTGAACCTTAAAATAAAGTGTGACCGAACTCTTTTATTTCAACTCCTTCGCCTCCTTCCACCTGCCATATAGAGGCACTTTGCAAAATCCAATCAATTGATTATGGATAAAATTAAGTCTCTCCCATCTTTATTTTTCTCGTTAAATAAATAACATATTTATCTTAAACATACATCAGAGTCATATTACAGAAGTAAAATAGATTTTATGTTAATTTGGGCTTTCTAACTAATAAAATAATAATGTAAACAATAAAATAATGAAAATTAAAAAGCATTTTTGAGACATAGTGATTTGGATGGACAAATACTATTAAAAAATGGTAATAAGATAATTAAAAGTAAAAACTAAAATTGTAAAATAAAACTAAAAACTTTTTTACGTTATAGTATGAAGATTCTTTTTTTTGGGTAATTTCTTAATTGTAATGAAAATCTCACCATGCACCATTTCAATCAATTCCTTATGAATAAACATATTTTCCTCTTAAATGCACGTCAGAGGTTAGAGTCAGAATGGTTCACTAAAAATTAAAAGATATACACACTCAAATCCATGTATGCCTTCTGTGGAACATAAAAAGAGAATATTGAGAATTTTGCAGAATATCCAAGCTGTTTGTTTCTTTATAAAGTTAGTAGAAAGTAACCAGGGCCTGTCAAGCTCCAAAAACACCAAAAAGCGCATGCACACATTTATTTGTGTTCCACAAAAGTAATGACAGATCATTATATTTGTGGGTGAACTATTCCTTTAAGAACTTTGTTGTTCTCTCTAATGGAGAGCCAAAAACAAGTGCATTTTTTGCCAATATTGTGTTAGTCCCTTCACTGGGTTTGGATTATTTCCCGTCACAGGATGTCAGGCGGGTTCACAGGATGTTAAGCTGTTTTGCTGTGTTTTGGGCATGTTGAAGCAGCTGTATATGTGGATGTTAAAGGGGTCATATGATGCGATTTCAATTTTTCCTTTCTCTTTGGAGTGTTGCAAGCTCTTGGTGCATAAAGAAGATCTGTAAAGTTGCAAAGACTAAAGTCTCAAATCCAAAGAGATATTCTTTATAAAAGTTAAGAGTCAACCACGCCTACCTAAAACGGCTCGTTCTAACACGCCCCCACATGTCTATGTCCCGATGTGGAAATATTAGCATAACGCCGCCCAAATGTTCACGCAAAGAAAGTAGGCGTAACTTTTATTCTCGCTGTAGTATTGTTGCTGTCGCCGCCATGTCGTGAAGGCACTGTGTGCTTCGATGTGAAAGCGAAACTATGTCTGCATTTGTGTCAGCTGGCCTTCCAAAAGAGGACGATATCCACTTCGTCATTCCTAGAGCTGATCCATGCTGGTCGCTGAGGAAATACATCAATTTTGATGTCCAGCCCGTGGTCGTCACATGTGGTTGCCGCAAGCCCTCCGGCTGCCACTCACTCTAGCCCACCGTGTGTGACGGCGTGTGTTTCTTTGTGAAAGCGAAACTACTTTGTTTGGTCTTCCAAAAGAGGACAATATCCGCTTCGTCATGCCTAGAGCTGATCTTTAAAGGGTACTGCAGTGGGTAAATGTGACCGCATCAGCGTTTAATCTCACAGAAAGCCTCAAACACACACAGCTGTCGTGAGTGTGTGCGCATTCGTGGACATGATTTTGCACGTGCCCTTGTGTGCATACAACATCTTAATGGTGTGAAGCAGCACTCATTATTGTGTTTGGGGACTTTAGAAAGAAAAGGGAGAACGTAAGAAGGAGTTTCCTTTTCTAAGGAGTAATTTCAGGAACCAGTGTAGGCTCATGGCAGGAATGAGTAATGATTGGGCTGCTGTGAATTTTCCTGTGCGTTGACTAATTGCTTCACCATCCTTGTGTTGTTAATGGGCTTTATGGAGAGACATACGTATATGAGATGTCAGCGACACACTGTAAAAACATACCAGATGAAGCAATGCTTTAAACAGCCTGTATGAAAAGTTGATTGAATGCCTTAATTGAATTCAGTTAGATTCATGTCAAAAAGAAAAAAGATTTGACTGTATATCAATCAGGTAAACAGTAAGAGATTATTTTATTTTATTTTCAGAAAAGGCATGCGTTTGCATGTGTTATATGTGGAGAACTTTAAGTAATTTTTCAAAAGTGGAAGCAAAAATGTTTTGCAACTTGCAGGGCCATAAAAACAACCTGAAAAATGAATGACAAAATAATATAACTTGCAAAATATGTAATAATAATAATCATAATAATACAGTTTGTTTATGAATATTAAGTAATATTAATATTTATGCTACAGTTAAAATAAATACATTAGACCATGAAACAGCAGGGGTTAAATAGACTCTCTCTCTCTCTCTCTCTCTCTGTGTCTGTGTTTGTGTTATTATTATTTATGAAATAAATCCAATATAATTATGCACAGTAGCCAAATACAAGTTTTTAACATGGTGTTCGTTTTGTTACAGGAGGAAGTACAAGAAAACATCTCAGAGGTAAGGCAGAGAAGATCTGAGGTGTGCTGAACTCATTATCATCCACTGTGAAAACCTCTTTCAGCAATAAATATGATTTCTCTAATATTTGTGTTTCATGTATGTATTAGCCAGATTCAGTAACATTCACTGGAAAAATCCAGCTAAAACCATCTGAAGGTAGCTGGTCCAACCTGGTGTAGGTGGATGACCTCCCTTCTAATGGTCAGCCTGTTTTTTTCTTCTTTTTTTTCTTTATTGGAATGGCTCCATGAAGAACCTTTAACATCCATGGAACATTTCCATTCCACAAAAAGGTTCCAGAAACATGCATTAAGAAAATAAATGGAGTCTGTTATGACTTCCTGTTGTCTTCAAGTGGGTTTAAACTGGATTTTCTAGCAGGGGCTGGTATAAAAATGATGTAGTATGACTAGAAACACGTATTGCAAATGGGCTCAATTTTGACTTCCTGTTGATTTTTTTAAATGGGTTTTTCCAGGAGTAGCTAATATAAGAAATTTGTCATAGTTTTTTAATAAATTCCCATAAGAAGTGCTGGCACGTGATTCTGGAGTAAGCTTGTGGTGGAGTAGAGTTACTTACTGTTTTTTGGAACATAGTAGATGGTTTGCTGCTGGTCTAAAGTGTCTACCAGTACTAACCAGCATAAACAAGATAATTTAAGCCAAGTTAGTAGACCGGCAGTTCACATAGACTAGCTTGGACCAGCTAGAAACCAGTTCCACGAATGCGCACACACTCACGACAGCTGTGCATGTTTGAGGCTTTCTGTGAGATTAAACGCTGATGCGGTCACATTTACCCACTGCAGTACCCTTTAAAGGGGTCAT